GCAAAATCAATCTCATTATTTCCTTGTTAGAGGAAAATATTGACCATAGTTTAAAAGTAATTAAAAATTTTGATGAGTTTGATAAAAAAAAAAGTAAAACACTTTTCAACCGTTTTATTCGCTGAAAAAGTGTTTTATATTTAATGAAAATCTGTCTGTCATATATTTCTGTGCGGAGCTTTGCGGAATCAGCAGAGCTATAGGGGATGTCAATCGCGGGGGTGGAAGAAAAGAAGCTAGTTTTGGGTTTGCTCTCTGGGCTGGAGGAACAAAAGCGGCAAAATCGATGCCGCTTTCTCTCTCTCTGACTCTGCAAATATCCGCGCCGCCGGACTTTGATTCTTTTTCTCACCCCTGCGCTGCATTTCACTTCTTCCTACTTCCGCCCAAATTTAATAAACGCCCCACTCGGGCAGGGGCGAATGCAAATCTTGATGCCGAAAGGGAATTATTGCGAGTGACGTCATTCCAGAGTAACAATAATTGCGGCCGGCCAGAACTTCCAAATTCCCTGGGCCTGCAAATTGAGCTCTGCCGTTGACAGCCCATCTGCGGCAAAGCCCAAAGCTCTCCGCTTTATTGCTTTGTTTTGTTAGAGCGGAAACTTTTTTTTACTTCCGAGGCTGGTTCCGTGTTTGTGGAACTTTCGAATAAATAAATAATGCAAGAAAATGTTTCCTCACGATGATTATTATTTGAGATAACATAAAAGTTTGCTAAAACAAATTTCCTTTTGAATGGTTGAAGTTTAAATAATTACTGAAAAATTCCAAGATTTTTATTTAATTTAGTTTAAGTTGTCCCGAATCTTCTAGATTTTCATTCTAAAGAGATTTTTCAATATTATAGAACTCGCAGATTAATTAATTAAGTGGAGCTAGAAATTTGTACAAATGGAACAAACGTTTTCTTCTGCAGGCCTGTCACTCAAAGGAATTTCCTGCAAGTTATATTATTTGAGCCGCGCCCTCGTGTCAATCTTGTTGCCGTCGCCTTTTATCAGCGCCCGCTAAGTAATGACACATTGCCTAGTCGTGTAGCAAAAATCAATTGCCAGTCTTTCTTTCTTTTTTTGGTATAATTAACAAAGTGCAGGAAACGTCAATTTTTAATCCCTTCACTTTTGGCGCCAAAAGTGGATTCGAACAAGTTTAAAAGGGCGATGCATCACTCTTGGCGTACTTAAAAACTTTTGCCGCAACTTTAAAGAGAGTTTTGTCCGATAAATTCGCGGGCATAAATCGCAGGTGTCGTCGCGCAGCCGCTTTGTTTCCAAAACTTTCCAACTCAAGATGACACACGTTCAAAAAGCAGGTCTAACGCGTGGAATTTAATTAAGCAACCAGGTGCGTTAGAAGCTGCTTTTTGGCGAATTCCTGGGAAATTTGAATTCCACCAAAACACCGAAGAACATAAAGTAAAGAAATTCCGATGATATGCAGCAATAAGGCTTTAAAGTAGAGTTATAATCTGGAGAATTGAGGATGAGAGCAAAAACATATATTTCTTTAAATTTTTCCTCCCAACTTTGAAAAAGTAAAAAATGAGTACAAATATATCAGTTATATTAACGAAATTGAGAAGTGAAATCTCTTGGGACCTCTTTTGCACTCATGTTCTGCGATCAGAGTGCCGAGTGCCATCCAATTCTGATGGTTTCCAGCTACTCAATTAGGGGGTAATTTTTACCCCCGAACCTCAAGAAAATGGAATTTTTAAAAACAAGAAATCAAATGAAATTTTGGAAGCACAAAGTCCTGCAGTTTGAAGAACCAAACTAATTCCGCCTTTGGCCATATTTTCGGTTGTGCAGGCAACTCGGAGGAGCGCCGGCTGCACATCCTCGCAACTTCATTGTGCCGCCCGGGAGCTTTTGGTCGTATCTAGTTATCTCTGAGAGCGTCGGTCCATTTTATTCGGGCGCCGGAATTGCCCTTTCGGGGCTGCCGAGGATTCCGTCGCAGCAGAGAAAAAGAGAAGAAGGTAATTAAAGTGGTGCTCGCGCTGGCTCTCTCGAGCGCCACCGACGGCGGCATGAGCAGTCTAATTAATTAACTGCGAAACTGAACACCCTGCGAGCTTCTCAAAACTTTCCGGCTCACAAATAACGCGTCAAACAAACTCATCTGCAAACTCAAAGTGAGAGATGCGAGCACAAATTGTATATACGAGTTCTATTTTACAAATTTTATACAAATATTTAAACAAAAATGAATCTTTTGGACAATAAGTTTGCTTTCTTTTTATGTTTTAAAAATTTCGTAAACCTGAAGATGTTTTTTCCTCAAATTGCAACGAAATCAATACAAGGAAAATGCAAAAAAAATCTTGTCTGCGATGTTCAAAGGTTAAAAAAACAAAAAACGCTTTTTTGTTGGCCAAGGACGGGCAAGGGCAATCACGTGTGTCTAGCCGTGCAATCATTTTAATTACGCGCTTCTAATTGAAGACCTGGTGACATTATTTCTAAAGGCGAAACTCGGCGCCGCCGCTAACAATTAGAACGTTGAACCCACAGAGCATCACAGGATTTATTTACCTTTTTTATCAGAGGTTTTTAATGTATGAAAATTAAAAATTAAATTAATTAAAAGATATTCATCAAATCGTTTGAATCGAAATTTCACTTTTCCTAGCTGCTATTTTTTTAGTAACAAATTATTTAAGTTGTTTTGTTTATAAATTTTTTTGTTTTTGTTGCTCAATGGGAAGTTGGAACTGACAATGAGTGAGGAAGTGCAAATTACTTTCAATTGACCTGCACATTTCATCTCATTTGAGCTTTGGCTGCGTTTGACTTTGGCAGGTTCAACTTTGCTCTCTGACCTGCTTTTGCAACTTTATTATTTTTTGCAGTTCAAATTGAAAGCAGAGATGAGATGAATTCCAGCGTTGGCACCACTTCAAAAGTATATCTTTCCATTGTGCAGAAGAAGTGCACTCGAATAAATATACATACAATTTTCATCGCTCGTAATGATGCGCGGCCGGAAAAATAAACCTACGACCCCATCGGTCAATGGGAAATCCGATCCGTCTCGTTATTTGCGCCTCGCCCAAGTAAAATCGATCCAGCGAATTCGCACCAAAAAAGTGCTTCTCGTTATGATTTTTGACCCGCTCTTTCGCACCTTTTAGCGGTGAGAGTTGGAGGGACGAGACCATTAACGGAATGAAATGGGAGGGCGAATGAGTTTCGCTCAAAATGTTTCGCCAAAACCATTTGCCTCTTCGAATCACTCACAGTGCTCGGGGTGTAAAAATCCAAAACTCCGGAAAGGCGTTGAAGGTTAAAGTGGATGCAAACGGCATTATGGGAAGAAAAGGCAAGAACTGAACTTGTAGGCTAGAAAATTTTGGTAACTGAGAAAATTTGTACAAATTTAAGCAATTAATCTGTTTCCGAAATAATCAAATTTTCACTAATTTGACAATTTCAATCATAATTTATCATTTTTATTCAATTAATTAAATTTTGTTCTTATTAAATTGTGAGTATCAGAATCGCTAACCAAATTATAATAAATTTCAGCAAATTTCTATATAATTATTTGATGGAAATTTTCAAGTGTCATTTTGATTGACACTTTGATGGGAACATTGCGCAGGAAGTCGATTGTGACGGACGCAGTGATTGCGAGGCAGATTCAATTTCACGCTCGCCAAACCGCACAAGTACGTTTGCAACCGAGCCGCAAATCTCTCTGCACATCCGATCTCGCCAATCCCGAGTTTCAAAAGGTCAAAATGAGAGAGGAATTTGTTTAGAAAAGCAACACTCGGGGCTGACCTACATTATGCAACTTGACATTTCACGCCTATTGAACTTCTCAAAGTTCAAAATTTCAAAAATTCGTGCGCAGAATTTGACTCGAGGAAAGTGGCTGCGCGTAATTGCAGGGCGGCAATTTGCTGCTGAATGTCGCAATCAAGGACGAAAAGCTGCGCGATTTGCCTAAAACACTCCGGCCTTGTAATTGCAGCCGCGCAATTAACTCTGATAATTGCGCCCTCGTTTTGCGCAGCACTCAAAATCAAGCTACACAAAAAATGCGGAAAAATAATAAAACACACTATATGTAAGCCCTAAAATGGTTTGTTAGTAATTTAAGAATAAAAAATATATATATAATTCATTTCAGAGTTGCCCAAGTGGCAACAATAAATTCCAGCAATAATACCGTAGCGCTAGAAATTGTTTCTTTTTCTTTACAAGTAGGACATTTGGAGTAATCAATGTAATCATCAGTTCTGAATGCTGACTATTTTTATTAACAAGAGTGATTGAACTGCAGCACATTTGAAAAAGATTAAATGTTACTTGGCGCGAGTAATTAAATTAAGATAAATTCTTAAATTCCTGCTCTTTTCCTGAAATTCCATTTCCTGAATAAATAAATATTCTTACCTTTCACTGTTCGGACAAAACACAATTTATTAAAATTGAAGGTTTAAATCGTTTCTGAATATTCTATTTTTTTTTTTTTTTAATGTAGGCCATCCAGATGAGCTTGTAAATTTTATTTTAATTTCAAGGAGCTTTTTATAATTTTTTATATCACAATTGTTCTTCATAAAAAGCTAGTCTACTCAATATTAATAAAATGTAAATTTTTTAGATGAAAATTTATTTTAAAAATATACCAATTTTTGAAGTATTGTGTTTTTTATTAAAAATATTTCAAAAATTTTTAATCTTTTTATTTTTCTGTTTTGAAATTCGTCAAATCCTCTTTAATACGTAGAATTTTGGAAATAGCAAGTGCGGAAAACGTGCCGAAACATCGGCTGAATAAAATGTACGAGAGAGGAAAAGCTGCGAAGGCAATCGGTCGCGAGATCAGATTTTCCTCCGTCGCGAAATGTGAATTTTCACGCCTGGCGAACTTTTTCTTATTGGAATTCTTTTTGATATTCTCGCAGGACGAATGTGTATGTTTGTGAGAGGAAGATGGAAAAAAGCAGAGATGAAGATGAAGGAAAAAAAGTTAAACACGGACCTTTGTTGTATCGGGCCTCGATCTGCGCCTGCAGGATGCTGATGCCGGGCACTATGATGGCGGGCAGGGTCCGCGACCGCAGCAGGGGCGGTTTGCTTTTGGCCCCCGCGTCGCCCCCGTCGGCCGTCGCCGCGATCCCCGCGCTGCTCGCGATGGCGGCGGCCGCGGCTGCTGCCACGGGACTGCGAACAAAAACAACCAAATTTCATTTCAGATCATTTTGCAAAAAGAATTTATATTTTTCTTTTATGCAATTACTGCACAAATAGATCAAACGTAATACATATTAAAATATTTTATCAATTTAAATACTTTACTGCTTTCATTCTACAACAGACACAATTTTTTTCGCAATAAAAAAATAATTTTAAATATTTAGGAGGAAAAATAACACTTATTTTGAAGAATAATCTTTTAATTAAAAATAAGTAATTAATATTTCTTTCAATCTTTTTTTATTTTACAGCTTTGAAAATCAAGCTTTTTAAATCCAACTTCGTTTACAATTTAAACAAAAAATCAGGGAAAAAATAGCAGCAGGGTCGAAAAGCTCATAATAATGTTAAGGATTGCGTTTTTTTTTCTCAATTTTTTTGCTCCGAGCGTGCTGCATATTTTCTCTTGAAAATCCGATACCTTTCCAATAACTTTTGTTTTTCATTTTGCAACTCGGAGCGAAAAAATGTTATTGACAGTCGAGATTAACGAGAGACAAAGCAAAATCTTCTCCTTTGCTCTTTTTCTTACATCTGAGATAAAAAAGGAAAGGGTTTTGCTCTTTTCGTCGCCAAGTCTCGGTTTAATGAAAAAAAAAAATCCGGCGGGCGAGACGCAAAAGTCGATGCATTAAACATGGCCCTGGAGAAAGCCTTTGAAAGACGAGACGTTCAAAGCTTCCATATTTCTTCATTAGAGAAGCCGAGACACGGTGAGGAATCGTGCGTGTCTCTCAGGTAACACCACAGAGAGATCAAACCGTGCCTCACTTTTTCACCTTTCGCCACCCCAATTCAACACGATTTGTTATTTCTAACAATTTATTTATTGCTTTTGCTTTTTTTTTTTTTAAATCCAATTTATATTATAAAAAAATCTTAATTTATAAAATTTATATTTGTTCCTAAAATTTTGAAGTTTTTGAAAGTACATTAAATTTCCTATCAATTTGATTCAAAATTATTAAACAAAAAAATGGTCAAATATCAAAACCTTTCGATAAGGACTAAATTATAAAATGTACAGACAAATCAGTCTAAAGGAAACTTTTTTTTATCCATGAAAGGTGAAGGAGCACTTTTTTTATTCTTCTGATTGTGAGATGTTGGTTGGTTGTCGCTCGCCTGGGGTAAATATTGCAGCCAACTCTTTTTTCCTTTGGTATTTTTCCAATAGTGAGACGCGCAATCAGTTATTCATTATCTTGGGAATGAAATAAAAAGATTGGGCCTCTCGTGGGACGGACGCGCTGCAGAAATAACGAGAGGTGCGCGACACACTCAGCCAAGGTCCGGGTAAATATTTTATGCGCTCGAACGTGCAAAACTAACTGAATATTGCATCGAGCAGCGGAGAAAAGAAGGGACCGCGACCACTTGTTTGTTTGTGGATCTAACAAGCTCGGCACAACAACAGCGACCTTAAAGCCTTAAAGGCGAGCGCCAGATTAGCCATGTCGACTTGGCCACGGCTCAGACCTCCAGCTTAAAATTAAGGCACAAATTCCACCTCCAAACTCGTGCAATCAAAATTATTAATTTTCTTATAAAAATCAGATTTTTTTTCGAGCTGCACTGAAATTTCAACTTTTCAATAAGATCAATCTAAATTTTTTATGTAGATTGTTGATTTTATTTTTCCATTTTAATTGGGTTGATGCGAATGTGATTTGGTGAAATTAATCAATTTTGGTCCGGCCAATTTTGAGTTATTTAAAAAAATTCCCATTCAAAATCATTTTGAAATTTAAAAATTCAGTTCCGCTAAAGAATTAAATTTCTCCTCAGAAACTGAAATCTGCAAACCGATGCTAATGTAGAGAAAAATTATCATAAAAATAAATTGGGCCTCCTTTTTATTAAAATCTCTCCTTTTAATAAGAAAGAAAAGTTACTTTCCCAGATAAGATCGGATAATTTATTTGACACTTACTTTGTTGTCAGTGTCAAATCTATATTAAAAAAAGAAAGCGAGTTATTCTCTTCATCAAAGTTGCTGCAACGATTCAATTTGAAGAGACTTTGCTCCGCACCACTCTAACGTAATTTATTTTATTTTTTTTTTTTTTACTTTTTAAGCCTCTTTCGAGTGGAAATAAGCGGCTCCGGCGAATGAGACAAAACTTTTGCCCAATCTGCTTTTCATTAAAATAAGAGAGGCATTTTTTCCTCCCTTTGAGGCAAATTGAATTCGTACACGGCTTGAGTGAGAGTTTATTTGTGAATTCGGCGGATGTGAATATTTGTGGCGCGAAGCACTCGAGATTGCTGAGCAAATATTTTGAAAAGAGCTAAACGCACTTATGATGTGTAAATTTGAAAATAGAAGCCGTGATTTGTTGACTCGCGCGCGGCTAAATCTGGCGCCGCGTGAATGAACCGCGCGCGCGTTAATTAACTCAACAAATTGATCAATAAAAGCAATCACGCCTTTTGCTTTTAGGAAAAAAATAAAGAGAAAAGATTTTGAGAGAGACGCGAATTAATGTGCCGAGTGAGCGGCGCGGTGTGTTTGTCTGCGGCTTAACTTAAACCCCCACTTAATCCCGGCAGAACGTTGCAATTTTTTACGCCCACAGGTATAATAATCCGCCACAGTTCCATTACCGCTCCTTAGAAGCTTCTAACGAAATTCAAGTTTACTTCCGCCGAATAAATTAAAATATAAACAAGTTATACTTCATTTATTTGAGATTAATGTTGAGGTTGATTTGGATACAAAATTGAAGAAAAAAAATCCAAATCTGAAATGATTTATTTTATTTTATATTTAATTATTTATTTGTTTTAAATAAATATAATAAATTATAATAAAAAATATAAAAATTAATTTCCGGACTGATTAATTTTCAAACTTATTTTTGTGCACTTCTCGGTAATTTAAAGCGTCTCTTATTTTCATTTAAATAAAATAGCATTACCGAAGTGAAAGGTGCGGGTTTATTGGGGTTGGCTGCGGATAACACGGAGAAGGCAGAGCAAAGCCAAATCAGAGGCAAGAGAATCGAATTTGTTCAAGGGCCATCGTTGCGTGTGTGCGTTTGCGAGTGGAGCTCTTTTCTCTTTGGCACCTTCCCTTGTTTTCCGCAAAGGCCTCTGCGACATAATAAACTCGATTTGTCGCCGCTCTCGACGACTTTGCAAAGCAAATTCCGATTCAAAGCAAAATTGAATCTGCTATTGCATTATTTACAGCTAAAAATCACAATTAAATTAAATTAACACATTTGGAATTTTTGTCTTTCTTCAGGGACGACCGAAAGGCGACCAAAAAGAGGACAAGCTTGGCTTTTTCGCCGCCGCCACTCTTTTCAATCAGCGCAGTCCGTCAGTCAACAAGGACGGAGAAACCTGTCGAGTGGAATGCGCAGAGAAAATGAGACTCGACCCCCCCCCCCGAGTATGCAACCCGCATTACAACGACAGCATTTCCAAGATTTCGGATGAAACGAGATAGGAATGAAAGATTGTTCCAAATATTAAATTTTTTATTATTCTCCAATCTGATTTCTCTCTTGATCAAGTTTTTCCAATTAATTTGAAAGCTCGGACAGATTTTGGCCATTTTTATGACTGCGGAAAAATTGCAATTGTGTCTGTTGAGAAAAGCCGCGTTTTAAATAATTCATGGCCAGGCACAGAGAGGTCAGTTTCATATCTTGCACGGCACCGAAAGAAAATTGAAATTTGGAATTCCAGTGTGGTGCGGCGCAGCAGAAGAAAGGTTCCTTGAAAAGTGCGCGCGCTTATCTCGCACACAACATTTTCCACTCGTTGAATAAATTATCCTGCGAAATGCATGCAAATATTTCCTGCATTATCGCGCCGACGTGCCGCGATAAAAGATAAAACGAAGAAATAAAAGCAAACTGCTGCACATTCCCGAGCAAGATAAAACTTATGTTGCTGGCCAAATTATTTTATTCTCGACGGGAAACAAATTCGAGTGTGTTAAAAGCATCGATTTTTTTTAGTAAGTAGAGCGCCGAGTTCATTCCGTCTCGAGGGCGGTAAATCACTTTGATCGAGCCCTCGCGAGAAGGGGAGAAGATTAATTAAAAATGTATTTGATTGTCAGTGGAGCTCAAAAGTCTTTCTCGACTGCATTTGAGGCTTAAATTGTAGTGTTGCAATTGCAGCTGCAATAACGAGGCTAATTGAAACGTGACTCGCTCAAAGTTTTCCTACTCTGGCTGCAATTAATTCTCTCTCCGCGATCGTTATCACAACTTTCTTGTGCAGCAGCAAAACTTACCATCTCAGCAAAATGTGCAACGTTTCTCTTGTAAAGACGAATTAAAAGTTTTCAATCTTATGCAAGAGTAAAAACAAAACCGCTAAACGTAAATAATTTCACTTTTCTCTCTGGATTCAAGGATAAAATTAATTTTGAATTTAAAAATCCTCAATTAAGAACGGCAAATGTCAATTTCCCTGCGGATCTGGTGAATTGTGACGCCGCCTTGGCAGAAAATCGTGGATATTTGTGTTGCTGGAAACGTGTCGCCCCGGTTTGTGTCACGCCCAGACAGACGGAGACGGTTTGATTTCGCGCGTACGCAAATTGGCATGTGTGAGAGGAGCGAGGGTGCGAACGAGGCCAGCCGCTCCACCACCGCATGAATTTTTCATGAGAACCGCCACCGCGCTGGGCCTTGAATTTCTACGCCGCACTCTGCTTTGCAGCGCGGCGCGTGTCCTCACAAAATTATAAAAATTATTTTATGCTCATTACCAATTTCATTCCACATAAATTAGGCACATTTTGTGTTTTCAGAAATTTCCAAAAGATAAAAACAAAATAACGTCATGAAAAAAGCTCATTCGAGTGCAGAAATTGTTTCTAATCTCAATTTCATTTGAAAATAAACAAAATGGTAATTAGAGTAACAAACTATTTATCACAGATTTCAAGTCAATCCATTTTTTTTTCAAAATATAAATGCACAATAAAATGAATTTAGATT